TTTATTGACTCACAGAACATAAACCTGAAAGGAAATTCTGCTTTTTCTACTATAATATTACAAGTACAAGACTCAGCTCTACAAGTTTGTTGGAGCAATTTTACTTTGGACAAACTTATTAAACTCTCAGTCTCAGGACCCCTGGCAATAAAAAGGAAGGTTAGTAATGCATCTTTCTAAGGGCTGAGGACTAAAGTATATCTAAGTAAAGACACAGAATAGAACCTAGCACCTGTGTTGTTGTTTTAAAATATCATCAAGTCAGTTCTAACAGAGACTCTGTAGAGGGTTTCCTCGAAGTGGCAGGTTGGTTTAAGCCACCAACCTTTTAGTAAGCAGTCCAGGGCTTCTCCTATAGTGCCACACCAGAACTCCTAGCATCTAGTAGGTGCTAGACATCATCACTATTATTATTATTTTTTTGTCTTCCTACTTTCACACACAGCATAAAGGAGAGCTTCAAAAAGTTCATGGAAAATGGATTTGAAAGTAATGTAATTTTCCCACAAACTATTTGAAGTCCCCTTATACAATATACATGCAATTATAAAATTTGAGTCTAAGTCTTTTAGAAAATTCCCCAATAATGGCATGCACTTACCTTGATTTTCTGCTGGCCTTAGATTTGCTAGAGCAACAATCTGATGCCCAGCATCAATGCACTGCATCATATTGTAACAGCTGTCCTTCCCACCACTAAAATAAACAAACAAACTATATTAGTCAATAGATTAATTGTATCTAAATATACAATAAATTATTTAATCACCATTTCAGACTATTTGAGGGACTGCTTCATAGTTAGAATGCCAAAAGCACACTTGTAATTTCCAAATCATAAGCTTATGAAATTATATGCCATTATAAAAAGGAACTTTCTAAGTAAAATTGATAACTTTTGGTTCGTGGTAGTGACTTTACTTAATGCACAATATGCAATTATACTTAGTGGCTTTACTTAATGTATGTTGTTGTTGTTAGGTACCATTGAGTCAGTTCCAACTCATAGTGAGCCTAGGCACAACAGAACAAAACACTGCCCAGTCATGTGCCATCCTCACAATTGTTGTTTCGTTTGAGCTGACTGCTGTTGTCATTATGTTAATCCATCTCATTGTGGATCATCCTCTTTTTCGCTGACTCTCCACTTTATCAAGCATGATGCCTTCTTCAGAGACTGGTCCTCCTGATAACATGATCGCGAAGTACAGTATACAGTATGCAAATATATAATATAAACATAAAATGATTTAATTTTATATTCCAACTAAACACTTATTATATGTATCCTTGACATGAAAAAGTAGAAAAGCATTTATTCTGCTCAACTCTTACAAATCTAATGACTATTTGTCATCACCAATTAAGGGATCAAATGAACGATTTGAGATCCAATCCAATGGCAGTTTTAAGTCTTTGTGAGTTTAACTTCTGAAGAGATAGAAAAAGAAGTGCTGAATTATACCAATAAAGTTAGCCATCAGTGGTTCACCCATCTATACACAGGTACACATTCACACACAGCCACAAATACAAGGTTAAGTCAAAAGTATGAGTACAAAATTACAGAAACTTTAATGAAACAAAAATATCAAAATGTGAAGCTATTGTTCCTCGACACACCCTCCATCTAGGTCTACACACTTCTGAAGGGGCTGCTTCCGTCTCCCTAACCCTACCCTGAAGAACAGTATGATCATCCGTCTACATCACATCAGAACAGCAGTCTTGGCTTTCTTAAGGGACTCAAGTCATGTCCCTTTGGAATGTTCTTTGAGTTTGAGGAACAATAAGAAATCTAAAGGAGGGTTGTAGGTTTAAGGGGTAAGGTTTTCCAACAAAATTCTCACAGGATAGCCCTAGAAAAATTCCTCAGTGCAACTTTCTGGGTATTTTTCTCACCAACAGTTTTCAATTTTCTTACAGCTTCTTCATAATAAGACCCCGTGATCATCCTGTCCCTCAAGAAAACCTATCAAGATTATCCCTTTGGAGCTCCAAAATATACCATGATAACCTTCTGAGCTGAATTCTGTGCCTTAAATTTAACTGGTTCAGCAGATGCCTTTGGAAGCTACTATTTTAATTGGACCTATTTCTTGAAGGTACCCTAAGGAGACTAAGACAAGTGTATTAATGAGAAAACTTTTCTGCCGTCATCCACTGATCACAGAGATATGTTTACACACATTTTGTTTCTAATACACTTGTGTGTGGATGGACTATAACCATAGTAGTAAAACTTTTTTACTTACCTTTATACATAATGGCATAAGCAGACTTTGTCATATATCTAATAACAGATTGAAAAGAACTTCTAAATTCTGGTATTGGGGTGGCACTGTACGATGAACACGTAACTGTAAGGTTGGCAGTTCAAACTCACCAGACACTCCTCAAAAAAAAAACCTATATAGAGTCGCTATGATTCAAAACCAACTCAACAGCACTTAACAACAACAATCTATCTAAGGCAGGAGCAAATCACTTAGTCAAGACAAATGGTAGTTTACCTATGACCAGGTAGAATGGCAATCTATATGGGATTTTGGTTTAACACTCTACTACTTCCTACATCTTACTATAGATTCCTGGTATAGTGCTGTAGGGTAAGCATTAGGCTGATAACCACAAAGTTAGCAGGTCAAACCCACCAGCCACTCCTGAGAAACTCTATGCAAGGTCACTAAGTCAGAACCAACTCCACAGCACTTAACACCAACAACAACCTATTATGGAGTCCTGGTGTGGTGCTGTAGGATAAGTACTGGACTGCTACCCAAAATGTCCATCATTCAAACTTACCAGTCACACCTCAGAAACCCTATACAGGTCAAAACTGACTGGGACACTTACTTCCTACTATAGATGTTTTTTCTTTTATCATTGCCTCTCTTCTTTTCCTATTTGTTTTCCTTCTGTTTACTTATCTTCTTTCCAATCTTTGGTTAATATCTGCAAATGTCCTCCACACAAGCAATGACTCAGCTATACATAGCCCAAGAAACTGAAAGAAACCAGTGATCTTAGGAGCTGACCTTTTAGCCTTCAACTTTTGTTTTCAATATCTGATATTTCCAAAGCCCAACAGTAACACCTTTGATGCCAGAACTTTACAAGGAGAGAGAATGCAAGGGCAAAGTAAAGGTTGACAGAGTCTACCTTCCCGCTCTTTATATTTGATACCCACCCCCCAAGGAAGTCTTCCCCAACTTCTATTAAATCTCACTATTTTCCCAAATCTGTGTTGGAAGCAGTATAGCCAGACTGCTCCTTAGATGCCAGGATGGCCAGACTTCGTCTCTCAGACTTCAGACACATTATCAGGAGGGACCAGTCCCTGGAGAAGGACATCATGCTTGACAAAATGTTAAGCCAGTGAAAAAGAGAAAGACCACCAAGAAGATGAATTGGTACAGTGGCAGCCAGCACTGGGCTCAAGCGTAACGACGACTATGAGGTTGGTGTAGCTCGGGCACTGTTTCATTCTGTTGTTGTACATAAGATCACGATGACCTGGTACTAGCTCAATGGCACCTATCAATAACAACAGCATTTCCCCAAGGATTCCTCATGGGACAGTTCTACCCTGACACACATGGGATTTCCATGAGTCAGTCAACTCACAGGCAACCTTTTTTTGTTTTTATTAAATGAAAAATTAGAACAGCCTTGTTGTTGTTGTTACGTGCCGTGGAGTCGGTTCCGACTCATAGCGACCCTGTACGGGGTTTCTGAGGCTGTAGTAAATCTTTACGGGAGCAGAAAGCTTCGTCTTTCTCCCGCGGAACAGATGGTAGTTTTGAACTATCTTGCAGCTCGCAGCCCGATTTGTAACCACTACGCTACCAGAGCTCCTTTAGAACTCCCTAAGAGTATTTATTTTCTGATTTTTCTTGGCTTAGGAACTCTCAGTTGAGGTATCTGCAACAGTAATGAAATAGGTAAATATTTATCAGAATGTATAGAAGTCTCCAGCTCTAATGAGGTTGGCAACTAAAGCACCTAATAACTCTAAAAAGTCTAGAGAGGCCCCAAAGCTTCTCTGCGGAAGCACGGGTTCCTGCAGCACAGCCAGCATATGAGAATATTTTATCTCAAAGTTCTGAAATATTTTTGCCAGTCCTTGGTTTTGTAGTTTGTTGTAAAAGAAAACAATGAAGATAACAAAAATCAAGGTTAAAGAAAGGGAAGAGTGAAATTCAAAACAGCTGAACTGCTACGAGGTCTGAAATCAAAAAGCCTAACCAAACTGGTCAGATTCAATCCAATAACTAACTGGATGCCAAAGGAACATCTACTATGTGTTGGATACAATGCTAAGTGTGATGATAAAGAAATGAGCATGCTTGGCCTAAAGGACAATAACATTACATGGTAGAATTCTCACCTACCACAAGAGAGCCCTGGGTCAATGCTCCTTTAGTGCAGGCACCAACCTGTCCCAAAAGCAGATTGAATATAATCATGGACTCTCGGGGTAGCGCTGTAGGATGGGCATTGGACTGCTAATCACAAGATTGGCAGTTCAAACCCACCAGCGGCTCCTTGGAAACACTACACAGGGTCGCTATGAGTTGGGATCGACTGACAGCACTTAACAGTAATGCTAAACAGATTTCAGTGAAGCTTCCAGACTGGTAGAGATTAGGAAGAAAGGGTCAATGATCTGCTTGTGCATGCGAGCCAATGAAAACACCATGGAGCACAAAGGTCCTACCCCTGACTAATTATGGGGATGGCATAGACCTGGCAGGGTTTTGTTCAGTTATGCATAGGGACACCATTGCATTACAGGCTGATTCAATAGCAGCATGCAGAGATTCACTGTAAGGGTGAAATAGGAATGTATCCTTTCATTCATTCAGTAGTAATTAACTGAGTAATTTACAAACATTTTAACACAGGCGGGCACACAGAAAATGTTCAATAATAAATTTATCATATTTTTTTATTATTATTGCTCAACAATCTCAAAGCTTTTGGCCATAGAGCAAGGTTGTAAAAACTGCGAACAGTTTGGCCATATCCCATAATAAATAGAAACCTGGGCAAAAACATAAAATCTGTACTTATAAATTACATAAAAATGTACACAGAAAGTAGAATGAAGAGAATAAACATAACAAAATATAAATAGCACTCTTTCTGTTGGTAGAATCTGGATACATTTTATTTTATTACATGTATTTTAAAAAGTAATGGGCCTGGGTGGGAAAAGTGGTTTGCAACCGGCTGCTAACCCAAGGTTTGGCAGCTCAAACCCATCCAGTGGTTCTGCAAACTGCTTCCCTACAGATTACAGCCTAGAAAACCCTGTGGAGCAGTTCTACTTTCTAACAGATGGAGCTACCAAGAATCAGAGCCGATGCAGTAGCAGCCGCAGCTAAGAAGAATAACATTTTCAATGTGTTGTGCATATTTAGCCATTTTTACTGTCTCATCTTTACCTTCACCCATGTCTTAGGGTGCTGTAGGATAAGCCCTAGGCTGCTAACTGCAAGGCAGTTCAAACCTACCAACTGCTCCGTGGGAGAAAGATGAAGCTTTCTGCTCCTGTAAAGATTTATAGCCTCAGAAATCCTATACAGGGTCATTAAGAGTGGAAATCAATTCTTGATAGGGAGTTTGGTTTGGGGCTATGCATACTTTCTCATATTTTGTTTATGTTTATGTTTTGTTTCTCATATCGGTTTATGTTGTTTAGTGCCGTCGAGGCAGTTCTGATCCATAGCAACCCTGTGTAGGGTTTCTGACGAGTGGCTGGTGAACTTGAACCACCGACCCTGCGGTTCAAACAGACCTTGCAGTCTAGCACATTAGCCCACAGAAAACCACTGTCATAGTCAGTTCCAACTAATGGTGACCCTATAGGCCATAGGGTTTCCGAGGCTGTACATCTTTACTAAAGTCGACTGAGAGCCTCATCTTTCTCCCACATAATGGCAGTGGGTTCAAACTGTCAACCTTTTAGTTAGCAACCCAACAATTAACCCACTGTGTCCTCAGGAATCCTCATTTAAGGAAAGCAGTCCAAAACCCTTCCAGAACATGGCGGGGTATACACAAAATTTTGCAATAAAACTTATGTCTTAGAAGGAACACCCCAAAAATCAACTGTTTGAAATCTCTGACTCTACTCGGTAAAATCTCAATCATCTACCATGATCCATTTGAAAAGTACATGGTGGTTATGTACCGTGGAGTTACTTCTGACTCATAGCGACCCTGCACAGGGTTTCTGAGGCTGTAAATCTTTACGGGAGCAGAAAGCCTCATCTTTCTTCTGTGGAACAGCTGGTAGTTTCAAACTACTGACCTTGAGGTTAGCAGCCTGACTGGTAGCCACTATGCTACCAGAGCTCCTTAATCACTACCTAAGAGATTAAAATATTATACCAAGAGTCTTTAATAGAATAATAAGTCAGGACTAATGAGTTACCTACAATATTGAATTAAGACATTTATAAAATCTTATCTAAACTCTTATCTTACTACTTTTGGCTTCACTTCATATATTGAGTGCCAAAACTTTTAAATGGATGCATCTTTAGTTTCAGCTAAGCACTGGACTGGTAACCTAAAGACTGGTAGTTCCTGTGCACCAAAGGCATCTGGAGAGAAAAATCTGGTGATATTAAAGAAAAAAGATCATTCATTGGCAACTCTATGGAGTACAGTTCTACGGACACACAAGGTCAGAAATGAATCTATGCCAACTATTTTTTACTTTTTAAAACATTCTTAACTTCAATGATCGAATTCTCACTTTCCATATGGTTGAATTCATGGCTAATGTTTGGATGTAGCTATGATGCTGACAATTTCAGCAGAGGGTCCAGAAAAAGAACAAAGGCCTAGAGATCCACTTCTGAAAGCAGACATTGAAAGGCCTATGGGCCACAGCGGTCCCACCTGCAACCAATCAGGAGTATGGGGGACAAGGCAGGGTTTTGTTCCACTCTGCTTTGTGTGGGTCACAAGTGGGGATGAGCAACAGGAAGGTGGCTAACAAAAAGTCTTTAGTTTGTCAGTCATAAGATTTACTTTAGCCACCAAATATGATGGGTTAATGGTGTCCTAGTGTGTTGCTGTAGGATAATCACTGGTCTGGTAACCATAAGGTTGGCGGTTCAAACCCTATTCGCTATAAGTAGGTACCGACTGGACAGCACTTAACAACACTGATGGATTACTATAGATCCCCAGCTTCTTTTAATTGGAGTATGTTAACTTAGATTACTTTAAAGCAATAATTAGTGGCAATGATAACTGGATCTAGATCTAAGAATAAACTGTTAAATTTTTTTCTCCACCATGAGGGAAGCTGCCCCTTCTCTGCATTTGTCCTCAATTGTAAAAAAAAAAAAAAAAATCCAGGCCACTAGTAATCCACATCTGTTTGGCCTCCCAAATCACCCACGTGGCACAGTGATGAAGGAGGGGTAACAGTGTGTGGGAGGGACATGGGGTCTCAGGAATGAGCAAGAAATCTGAAGTTAACTAGAAGAAAGGTGAGGAAAGGTGAAAGGGGGGTATTGTAAAGTGAAGATAAAAAGAGGCTCTTAAACTTCGCTGCCTGTTAGATTTTTAAAAATTAGACTCAGACTAATTAGATCAGTATCTCAGGGGCTAGATCAGGCATTGGTATTTGTAAAGCTCCCCAGGTGAATCCAACGTGCAGCCAAATTTAAGGTGGCACTGCAGGAAAGGCCAGGCAATCTCTAAAAGCTCCGCCTCTTCCTGTGCCCTAGAGGACCAGCCGAGTCCCCCGCAAGCAGCTCCTGCAGAGTCGCCCTCTCTTTCTGCACCAGCGGCGGTGATAGCTTCCGCCGATCGACAGGATGAGACGGGAGACTGGCAGGAGACATGGAAGACCGCTGTAGCGCCGCGTTACCTGATCAGAGCAGCGACCCTCATGCTGGGCACAGTGCGCGTGCGTGCGGCCGACGCGGGCGGGAGCCGGGGACTGAAGCCGCCGCCGCCGCCGCCGCCGCCCTATGACGCGCCAGCGGGCCTCGCTCGACTGTTCGCTCCGCCGCCAGTCCGTGCACCCGCACTGCGGCCCTTGCGGCTTCTGCCTGCACGGCACTTGGGAACGGAGAATGCGCCACACTGGTGCCATGCTTCTGTGACAGGGGCGTCCCGGTTCAGAAAAGAATAGTGTTTAGGCACGGCCTAACCACCTAAGTAAGGGCACTGAAGCTGCCGGGGCTAGGGCAAGGTCAGCGTCCTGGAGCCCAATCGCGGTGTCGCTGGAATTTAGCTGCAGGATGGTGTAGGTTATGTGTACTGCAATTAATGTACCAGAGATCCTGGTACATTAGGATCGAGTTCGCATCTCCCTCCACATTGTGTAAAGAACACGAGATAAAAGTGAAAAGCCAAAAAGTGCAGTTGTTTGTGGGTTTGAGGGCGTGAAAGCAAACTTTCTCCACTCGTTCCCTTTGCAAGACCACAGGGTTTTAAATAACAAGTTTTCCGACAGACCCATGGGGAAACAGTCAAAGTTGGCCGTTAGAGGAATCCCACATCGGCGGGATGGCCAGGTTCTAGTTTCTCCATGGAACCTCAGTCACGGTTGGGAAGCAGAGGGGTGGGGCTGGGAGAGGGAGGGAAAAGCTTGGGCTGCTTAGAGCATGGTGGTGGATTTAAAGTTGAGCAGCTGGAAACTATCAACCAGTTTATGATGATGTTCATGTTACAGCTCCTCTGTGGTTCCTATGGACCTCTATTTCTAAGGGTAAATTTAGAAAAGAGAAATGGGCGAGCTGTAAAGCCCTGTCACTGAGATTGGTCGTTAGACCATAAGTGGTACTCATGTGTTCTCCTTTATCCATTCGATAATATTCTCATGCTCGGCAGATCTTGTTGACCTACAGTATGACCCAACATTCATTTCTAGGGTTCTTAGCCCTTGGTCGTCATTCCCTTTTTAAGTCTGGGATTGCTGCGTGTGTTCATTCTCAGCTACAACTGGGCAAGGTACTAAAAGGCACCCAAGTAGATCACCTTATCCCTTATCATTTATCCCTACCTGTTGGCCACTGGGCTCCAAGAGCCAACTGTACCCTGGTGCCAGTTGTAGCTTGGAGTTCAGTGAGATCCCCTGCTCTGCCTCTAGCAAGAGAGCAAGCCTTTGGAAACCAGAACCTCCAACTCAGCAGAGCAGAGTTCTCTGGTGGGTCACCTAATGGTGGCCCTTGGGCCATTCTTGCTTTCACCCTTTGGTACACAGATCTGTGTAATCTTCCTATTGAGGACTCACTGCCATATAGTGAGCTCTGATTTAGTACCTATGCTATATTCTAGTGTGCTGCCATAGGATAAGCGTAGGACTGTAAGGTTGATTTGAACCACAAGGTTGGTGGTTCAAACTCACCAATCACTCCTCGGAAACCCTACTAGGTCACTATGAGTTGGGACTGACTAGACAGCAGATACCAACAACAACTATATTCTGGGGGAACGGTACTCCATCTTTGCAGATTATTACCCCGAGCTGCAGTTTCAGCTGTGCCTTTAGTAGTCCTTTCTGGTACTCCCTGAGGCTTGCTTCAACTAGATAGTGTGCTATGGGATGCTGGTAAGCCCCAGAAAAATGGCCCCACTCCCACACCTCCTCTTGGTACTGTGGTTTCCTTATGGATGCTCTACTGGGTGGGATTACAAGCCTATAAAGGCATTCTATTAGTGGGGCCACCTGAGGCTATATAAGCAGAGAAAGCAAGGTGCTCAATCAAGGACTGGAGCCACCTTGGGAAAGCATTGCCTCAGTGAACGCCGCGTGAATCCAAAGTTGTGGCAACTGGAGGCAGACAGTCAGGTTTTGTTTTATAAGAACCCACAGCAGGTTCTTATAAAGGGAGATCTGAGCAAGCACATTCACGGCTGCCAGATGGAAATAGAACGACTCACACAAATTCAAAATAAGGAGCATGAACACTCATCGTTCCCTGCTGAGGAAATGTTGAATGAAGAGTTAATTCAAGCCAAAGAAAAGTATTTGAAAGAGGCTGCCTATATTCATAAATGTCTAACTTTCAAACAGATAACACCAATGCATACTAATTTTGAATCCTGGCAAAGTAATTTTTAAGACTCATAAATTAATAGGTAAAACTTGCTTTTGATTAGTACTATCCATTTGCTTTCTCATTTTAAAAGTTAGCTATCATTATTATTGATGTAGATATAGCAGACATTCATGTTCTGATGCCCTCACAAATTCTTGCTTTAAGTAATAATGCTATAAAAGGCAATATAAAAGGCCATCAATAAATATTGACAAAGAAATAAAAACTACTCTCTATAATTAAATTTATAAAGTTAATAACTATTACCACCACTATGGAGGCCTGGTGTGGTGCGGTAGCATAATGCACTTGACCACAATATTAGTTTGCACCATAAGGTCAGCAGTTCAAACCCACCAGCCACTCATTGGAAACCCTCTACAGGGTCGCTATGAGTGGGAATGGACTCGGCACTTACCAACAACGATTATCGCTATGGATACCATTGTGAGGAATGGATATTCCAGAACACTCAACTCTGCTCATGAGGAACCTGAACATAGACCAAAAGGTAGTCATTCAAACAGAACAAGAGGATAGTGAATGCAGTTTCAGCTGTGCTGAAAATCATGAAAGGGACTGTGTTCTTTCACCATATTTATTCATTGACCATATTTATTCAAGCTGTATGCCGAGTAATCAAAGAAACTGGATTACATGAAGAAGAATTTAACATCAGGATTGGAGGAAGACTCATTAACAACCTGCAACATGCAGGTAATACAACCTTGCTTGCTGAAAGTGAAGATGACTTAAAATACTTAACTGACCACAGCGTTCAGTGTGGGTTGTACCTCAATGTAAAGAAAATGAAAATTCCAGTATATAACATTGTGATAAATGGAGAAAAGGTTGAAGTTGTCAAATACTTCAATTTGTTTGGATCCACTATCAACACTCATGGAAGCAGCAGTCAACAAATAAAGGGCGTATTGTATTAGGCAAATCGGCTGCACAAGACCTCTTTAAAGTGATCAACAACAAAGATATCATTTTTGAGGACTAAGTCATGGTGTTTTCAATAGCCTCAGATGCGTGTGCAAGTAGGACAATGAATAAGGAAGACCATAGAAGAATTGATGCATTTGAGTTATGATGTTAGAGAAGAATATTAAAAGTACCACGAACTGCCAGAACAAACAAATCTGTGTTGGAAGAAGTACAGCCAGAATGTTCCTTAGAAACCAGGATGATAAGACATTGTCTCATACTTCAGACATGTTTTCAGTAGGGACAAGACCCTGGAAGACATCATACTTGGAAATGTGGAGAGTCAACAAAAAAGAGAAAGACCCCTAACAAGATGGATTGACACAGAGGCGGCAGCAATGGACTCAAGTATAACAATTGTGACCTAGCAGTGTTTTGTTCTGTTGTGCATAGTGTTGCTATTACGAGGTGGAAGTAAGTCAATGGCACCTAACAAAAAAAAATAACTCAATTCCTTTTAAATCCTTACCAAGATCTTATGATTTCCTATATGGCATGCCTGAAGGAAGTACACATTGCTTTGAGATGTAAATCCTTTCGAAGTCTCTGGAATAACTACCTGTAGTGTTGATTTGATTATCTCAGTCTTTATCAATCAGTGCATCACTGAGATATACTGCCAAGGAAGCAGAACTCGGTGACAGCTTGCAACTTTTATTACCAGCAACAGTGTTTGGCTATGGAGTTTCCCTTAAGTAAACTGTCAAGGAATTGAGTTTTTTTGAGGCTGATTTTCCATTCACCTATTTCATTGGATTGATAAAAAACAAACCCAAGCCTACTGCTGTCTTGTTAGTTCCAACTCATAGTGACCAAACCAACCCATAATCATGTATATATAGTAGTTGGAAACTATCCTTGTGTGGTGCTGTCCCTTAATGCACCAGACTGCAAAGTCATTTGAACTGCAAAGTCGGCAGTTCAAGGTCACCAGCTGCTCCTGGGTCACTATGGGGTCAGAATCGACTCGATGGCAATTAACACCAATAACAACATAGGAAGTAAGTTTGCAATGCCATTGAAAGAAAAATACTGGAAAGTCATTTCATTTCAATATTCTTAAAACAATTATTTTAGACTATCCAAACCAAAGGAAGCGCAATGGCTTCATACAGTAAGCACTGGACTGCAAACCACAAGGTCCATGGTTTAAACCTTCCAGCTGCTCCACAGGAAAAATGCTTCCTGCTCCTGGAAAATTTTAAAGCCGTGGAAACCCTATACAGGATCGCTGTGAGCCAGAAGTGACTCGACAGTACATAACAACAATCAACAACATCCAAACCAAAACTAAATCTAAACCCACTGCCATCAAGCCGATTCTGACTCATAACTACCACATAGGGCAGAGTCCAACTGTTCTCTAGAGTTTCTGAGACTGTAAATATTCAAGGGAGCAGACAGTCTCATCTTCCTCCCATCTCCCACTCCCATGCTAGTGGGTTTGAACCACTGACCTTATGGTTAACAGTCCGACGGGTAACACGCTGTGTGACCAAGTTTCTAATACTGACATAAAATCTATTCACTTGTTGACATTGATTGGACTGAAGTTACGTTTTTGTTATTAATACAGAACATGAACATGTAGAGGCCTTGCTAAACCAGCTGTTCTTGAGATGTGGGCAAGCAAGATAAATACTGGACCCCAAGGTGAATTTAAACTGCAGGGTGGTAGTTCAAACCCATCGGTCATTCCTCAGAAACCCTATACAGGGTCACTATGAGTTGGAACTTAACAACAACAACAACAATGCCCTTTGACTTTGCTTTTTCTATTTTAAGTTTCTGTGCTTGCTGGAAGAAGCCCTGTAGTGTAGTGGGTTCTGTGTTGAGCTGCTAACCACAAGGTCAGTAGTTCAAATCTACTAGGTTCTCCATGAGAGAAGATGAAGCTTTCTGCTCCCATTAAGATT